TATGCTATGGTGGAATTTGGGGATAATTCGGGGATAATTTGCAATCGTAACATAGTTTGCAGGAAGGGCGCGGACGAACCACGGTAACTGAATTGGGATTCTAGAGTATTCTGTTACAAGATTGCCTGGATATTACATCTCCTACCGCACCTTATATAGCCAACGCTCACCGACCTCTGTTGCCAGACCGGCAACAGTTACACTACCTCTGTCCGTACGGGCCCAGTCGTCATACCCTGACATTGTCCCCTCCTTGAGAATCAGGTTGTCCTCAACCTGTTGCCACCTGCACCTAATCACGTGGTACATCCGCTTCATCTTCCCAAGTGGCCATCTCTTCTGGCATTGAACTCCACTGAATGAGCACTTGCTTGATCATGTTGGCACCTCCCTGGATGACCCGAATCTGCAGAATCTTCATTGGCAGCTGAACTTGGAATGGGTCAGTACTAACAGAAGTTAAATCTTCAGTAACCACCACATCCTTTGGAATATGTTTCTTCAGTTGGGAAACATGAATGACCGGGTGAATGCGACTTCCCTCCGGTAGCTCCAGCTTATATGCCACTTTGCCCACACACTTCAACACCTTATATGGACCATAAAACCGAAATGGGAGCTTCTTATTTGATCTTGCTGCTACTGTGGACTGAACATATGGTTGCAGATTCATATACACCAAATCTCCTTGCTGAAACTCTCATTCCATCCTATGCTTATCAGCTTAAGATTTCATCCGTTAATGTGCCCTCTGCAACTGCTGTTGAATGATTCTGTTCAATAGCTCCCTTTCCTTCATCCATTGTTCCAAATCTGGCACTACACAAAGATTCAGATTAGAGATACTCAGTTCTCTTGGACTTTGCCCATACAAAACTTCAAATGGAGATCTCCCTAGAGCAGAATGATGTGCTGTATTGTACCAAAACTCTGCTACTGACAACCATTTGCTCCATTGCCTTGGGCATGAGTGCACAGTACATCTCAAGGAACCTTCTAAACACTGATTAAGTCTTTCTGTCTGACCATCAGTTTGGGGATGGTAGGCCGAGCTCATCAGCAATTGGGTATCAGTCAGCTTGAAGAGTTCTTTCCACAGTGTGCTAGTGAAGATAGGATCTCTATCAGAAATAATAGCCTTTGGAAGTCCATGTAGTTTTCAGATAATATCCATAAATAGCTTTGCAATTTGAATGGCTGTTTAGGGATGGTAGACAGGGAGAAAGTGGCCATACTTTGAGAATTTGTCCAACACCACTAATATACCATTGTACCTGTCAGATGTAGGTAACCCTTCAATGAAGTCTAGGCTGATCACTTCCCAGGCTTGTGAAGGTATTGGCGAAGGCTGTAATTGTAACACCCCAGGGTGCTACTAAACAACACAAACACTAGCTAGACATAATAAATAAAAAAACGGCAGCACCTCCTTTGTAAATATAAGCAACACAGAGGTGAGAACAAAGATAAGACACATATAGACCACACTAGCATAAAATAAACATCCACAAAAACTAATTATCACAACTACGTTATTAAGTTTATGGAATAGTCTCCAAATGAAGGTGTGTGAAACGTGCAGCTAGCTCCCTTCCCATCTGAGCAACTATCAAGTACCTGGGAAGAATAATGCAAGGGTGAGATGAAAACATCTCAGCAAGTAAAAATTTTTTTAGCTATTTAAATCACAAGTTGTGTTAAGCAGCGATTTAGTAAAGGATTCCATCTCTGAATAAGCAACATATAAAACCAATGTAAAGAACACCTCCAAATAAAACCACAGAGAGGTGACATACCTTCAATATTATATTAGCAAGGTCATGTCACTTCAAATATGTTTCATAAATGCATATGAGTGCAATGCAAGTGACTCCTGCCTGCATACCCAACAAGGTATGGAGCTGCATCCCATGATGTTGTACCAGTACGGTCGTGACCATAGGTCAACGATATAACTTCCAATGCATTCGAATGATGCAATGCATATGACATGCTACAATAATAGCAATATAACTTCACCTTCTCCAAAGCCATGTGATTTGACCACATGAACCGTGCTAGCATCAGTGCATCACAACCACACCATATATAAAGAAATAAGGCATCCAATTACGGTTGAGAGAGGAACATCAGAAAGGTTTAGTTCACAGTTGTTATGACATGCAGCCTGTTCGCTTGCTCGTAAACGATCGTAAATTTCCAGCCAGGAACAGTGTTTTTCTCTCACACCAAACCAGCCAGCAGTAAATAATCCACGATACGATACGGCCTCCCGAACAGGCTGATGGTTCCGAACATTGTGGTGTAGGTGATAAAGATAACAAGTCAAAACAGTAGCGAACCACTGCTACATTCACTTGCCTTTTTTACCGAAGAAGGTCAAAAAGGACTAGGGGCGATCCGAGGCACTACCACCTGTTTTAAAACAAAGAACTCAGTACAAATACCCCGAATAACACTTGTAAACAATCAACAAAAATGGCCCTACGTCTGAACAAGCAATTGATGAAAAACAACCCCCACTTGACCCCGATAAACAGCAGCAGTGCAGCTCGTTCTTTTTCTTGTAACTCTGAAACCGTAGCAGTTGTGATAACAAATAAATAGCTAACAAGCATCTACACTGAATAAGCTACAACCTTGGTATTCAGCAGAAATTAAAATTTCAACATCTACTATTTTTAATGCAGCCTACAAAGCAACAGACTACTCTGAGTTTCTAGAGCAGCAACTCTGTCTTCAGAAAACCATATCTCCCAAGCCATTGATCCTAAAACAGAGTTTAAATACTCAATGAAAAGTTCATACAAAGTACTACAAAATACTCCATAGCGCCCTGGACCAAAATGGCCTCGAAAACTTCTAAAACGATGCTGAAAACTGGAGTTCGAAACTGACCCCGACCTGATAGAACTGCAGTAACCATCGGAAACATTCAGAAAGCCATAACTTTTGCTATGCTCAACGAAAAATGAAGCTTAAATACTCATTGGAAAGGTCTTCAAATGCCCTACAACTTCCGTTCATATGAAATCCCCTAATTCGGCCAGTAAATACCTCAAAAACAGACCGATCTACAGCTGTACAGGGAGAGAACGAAAACACTGAAACCCTAATTGCCTGTCCACCCACTGCGTGACCAAAACGAAAACATCCCTTAAACCCTTCTCTAATCCCTTCTCCTCCTCGACTTTCAGGCATCCAGAACACCTCTACAACTTGCACTTTACATAAACTCAAGTCTCACCTAGGGTTCCCTTGAAGATCCCGCAAGGAGAACGGTGGGAGAACTCCAATCCACATCTCTCCCTGCTCCCTAACTTTTCTTCTTGATTTAGGCTCTAGAGCAAGAGATCCATGGGAAACTTTTGCAAGAAGGAAGAAGAAGGTGCGGCCAGGAGAGGAAAGGAGAAAGGGGTGGCAGCCAGGAGAGGGAGGAGAAAAAGGGGGAGGCGGCACCAGCAGATGGGCCTAGGCCCATCTAGCTCTCTCTCTCTCTCTCTCTCTTTATTACTTCAGGACGTTACACTCTACCCCCCATAAGAGAATTCGTCCTCGAATTCCACTTCTATGATAGAAACCAACACAATGGCAAAACAGACTTAACTTCATAAAACTCACCGGTGACAAATAGTTCGGGATATTCCTTACGCATCTGCTCTTCCAGTTCCCAAGTTGCTTCTCGCTCTGACTGGTTAGTCCATAGAACCTTAACATATTTGATAGTTCTCATCCTCAAGACTTGCTCTGAGGAGTCCAATATGCACACCGGGCGGCATTTGATTGTCAAGTCCTTCTTCACTCTAATTGTCTCTAGATCAATCTTGTGCTCAGGATCCCTTAGATACTTCCTCAACATGGAAACATGAAATACATTGTGCACTCCCTTCAATGAATCTGGTAACTGCAAATGATAGGCTAAACTGCCAACACGGGCTATGATCTTGAATGGACTGATGTACCTTGGGCTAAGCTTCCCTGTAGTACCAAACCGCATAATACCTTTGGTTGGTGATACCCAGAGAAGAACCAGATCTCCCACAGCAAACTCTAGGTCCCGCCTTCTAATATCTACAAAGCTCTTTTGCCGACTCTGAGCAGCCAACAAATTTTGTCGTATTTGTTGCACCTTTTTAGAAGTCTCTTGAACCCAATGTGGACCAACCAAAGACCTTTCACCCAAAGTTTCCCAACATATGGGAGAGATACATCTTCTTCCATACAAAGCCTCATATGGAGCCATCTTGATACTGGCTTGGTAGCTATTATTGTAAGCAAACTCTACTAAAGCTAAATGATCCTCCCAAGTGCCTTTCCAAGAAAGAACACAAGCACGAAGCATGTCCTCCAATGTTTGAATGGTACGTTCCGATTGACCATCCATTTGTGGGTGAAAAGTGGTGCTAAGTGTGTGTTTTGTGCCTAAGGCATTTTGTAGCCTTTGCCAAAAATTAGACACAAATTTTGGGTCCCGGTCTGATGATTGACTTGGGCACACCATGCAATCTCACCACTTCCCTAATATATAAGGGAACTAAATCCAGTGCAGAGTTTTTTGTTTTCATTGAAATGAAATGGGCACACTTGGTGAGTCTATCCACAACAGCCCATATAGCATCATTACCTCGAGGTGATCGAGGTAAACCAACTACAAAGTCCATAGTAATATGTTCCCATTTCCACTTTGGGATCTCCAAAGGCTTTAACAAGCCTACTGGCTTCTTCTGCTCTGCCTTAACCTGCTGACACACTCCATATGATGCCACATATTTAGCAATATCCACCTTCATCCTTTTCCACCAGAAGTTTTGTTTCAAGTTTTGATACATTTTGGTCTCACCAGGGTGAACTGTATAAGGAGTCCGATGTGCCTCCCTTAAGATATCCATCTTCACATCTGATTTTTGTGGCACACAAAGGCGTCCTCTAAAACGAACCACGTCATTCTCATCAATACTAAACTCACGAGGTTTGCCATCCCCAATCCTCTTGCGAACCTCCTAAATCAAGCGATCATGCTTTTGAGCTTCATGGACCTTCTCAAGAAGGTTTGACTGAATGAGCAACTGAGTCTCCTCTCTTGTAGTACCAGCATAGCACAAGGAGACGCCCATACGACTCAAATCTACAATCAAAGGCATTGCGACCTTTGGAACACCGGTTCTGCTAAGAGCATCTGCCACCACATTCACCTTCCCCGGATGATACTGAATTGTAAGATCATAATCTTTTATCAACTCAAGCCACCTACGCTGCCTCAGATTTAGCTCCTTCTGAGTGAAAATATATTTAAGACTCTTATGGTCAGTATAGATGTCACAAGACTCACCATAGAGATAATGCCTCCAAGACTTCAAGGCAAACACAACAGCAGCTAACTCTAGATCATGGGTAGGATAATTTCTCTCATGCTTCTTCAACTGCCTAGGGCCATAAGCAATCACCTTGCCATCTTGCATCAAAACACACCCAAGACCAACACGGGACGCATTCGTATATACTGTGAAGCGCTTTCCACTCTCTGGTAAGGCCAAGATAGGAGCATTCACTAACTTATCCTTCAAGATCTGAAAACTAGTGTCGCAATCATTGTTCCAAACAAAGGGAACACCCTTCTCTGTAAGTCTAGTCAGCGGCTTAGCAATGCAAGAGAAATCCTGCACAAAACGCCGATAATAGCCAGCAAGACCCAGAAAACTGCGAATCTCAGTCAATGTAGTCGGTCTCTGCCAACTGACAACACTAGCAACATTCTTAGGATCAACTGAAATGCCATGCTGATTAATAACATGACCAAGGAAAGCAACTTCAGAGAGCCAAAAAGCACACTTCTTCAATTTCGCATAAAATTGATTCTTCCGAAGGGCATCCAGAGCAAGCCTAAGATGTCGCTCGTGCTCTTCCTCAGACTTTGAGTAAATCAAGATATCATCAAGGAAAACGACAACAAAATCATCCAAGTACTCATGTAACATCCTATTCATAGCTTCCATAAACACAGCAGGGGCATTTGTCAGTCCGAAAGACATAACAATATATTCATAATGCCCATACCTAGTGCTAAAAGTTGTCTTCTCTATATCTTCTTCCCTTATTCTCAATTGATGATAGCCAGAATTCAAATCAATCTTAGAGAATACCTTGGCACCCTGCAATTGCTCAAAGAGCACATCTATACGAGGTAAAGGATATTTATTCTTGATGGTCACCCGATTAAGGTCACGATAATCCACACATAACCTCTTGGTACCATCCTTCTTCTCCACAAATAGCATAGGAAAAGCCCAAGGCGACTTGCTAGGTCTGATAAAACCCTTAGCAAGAAGATCATCCAACTGCCGCTTCAACTCAACCTGCTCTTTTGGAGCCATCCGATACGGAGTCTTATGGATAGGCTGCGTACCAGGAACCAATTTGATTTCAAAAACCGCATCACGCTCAGGCGGGATACTTGGAAGCTTAGCAGGAAACACATCAGGGTAATGACACACACTCGTATGTCCTCCACTCGTAAGGCAACCTCACTGCCATCCACCATAGAGAAGAGAATTCCAGATTTCCTAGTCCAGCGATCTGGGAACAACAGGCATAGAAGTGCAAGAGAGTACTTCATAGCACTACCTACAAAAATCACCTCTCTACCTGAAGGTGCCTGCAAGGATACCATCTTCCAGAAACAAGAGATAACAGCCCGATATTGAGAAAGCCAATCCATACCCAGAATAACATCAAAAGACTCAAGGGGGATCACCATGAGATTAGCAACAAACCCCTCATTGGCAAGAACGATAGAGCAACCCGGACAAATTGAATGACTAGACATAAAACCTTTAGCTGAATTGACCACAATGGCCTGACCAATCTTCAGCACAGAAAGGCCAGCACGGGCCACAAAACTCTCCAAGACAAACGAGAAACTAGCGCTAGAGTCAAAAAGTGCATATGCATCAAATGAATCCACTGAGATAGTACCTATAACAGTATCTCCATTGTTGCCATCAATAGAGGGCAACGCATAAGCTCCAGGAACACCCGCAGAGGAAGAAACACCTGGCGAAAAGCTAGTAGGAGAAGAAGTCCAGGGTAGCGGATACACTGGAGGAGCAGTAGGCTGCGGCAGTCGAAGAGTCCCAGCATGTGGCATCAAAGGAGCAGCCGGTGTAGAAGGAGCTACCAAGTACTGAGGGTAGGAAGGTGCAGCCAAGTACTGCTGACTAGGTGGCACAGAAACATGCTGCTGTGTAGATGTCAACATGTTGGCAGTGCCACTAGAAGCTGAAGAAGATACTGGTTCCCAATGGAGTTTTGCATTTGGATTCCTCCTACATACCACATCCTTGTGGTCCTGGCCACAAATGGAACATCTCCCATTCCACTGGCACTCTGCACGTCGGTGCGCATCACCACTGCGGAAACACACTAGCCCCATGCCTAGTTTAGGAACAGCCCGGTACTGAGGCGTACTTCCTCCTGAAGAACTGGAGTGAAAGGACTTGCCACGATATGGATGGTGACGCTGAAACCTCCCCTTCTTGTGAGCTGGACCACCAGATTGGCCCTTCTTGTCATCCTGAGAGCGAGACTGATCAGCGCTAGAAGGTTTTTGAATTTCATTAGTGTACTGTTGCTGCATCTCCACACCTAAAGCCTGCTCCACGGTGGTGCGGAAATCCACCAATGGAAAGGCCCCCAAAGTGTGCCTAATCGAAGGCTTCAAACCCTGACGAAACTGGCTTGCCTTCTCTACCTCATTACGGGCCACATGTGGAACAAAGCGAACAATCTTGTTGAAGCCCACCTCATATTCTGCCACTGTCTTCTTATCCTGCCTAAGTTTGCAGGTCTATCTTCATCTTCTCTAGAAAAGTGGCTGGGTAAAACCTCCTCTCAAACTCCCTGGCCAAGACATGCCAAGTCAAAGATCCAGGTGCAGACGAATGAGATGTATGCATGCCTCTCCACCATATCTGAGCCTCACCCTTCAGCAACTGTGTCCCATAGCGAACACGATCCCCATAAGCCACCTCGAAGACATCCATCTTATCCTCCACATAAGTCAGCCAATTTGCTGCCTCAACTGGAGAGCCACTGCCATCAAAGGAATCCAACTTCATGCCAATCCGCTTCACAAGAGAAACACCACTGACCGGAAGTGCAGTCTGAGGAACACCAGTGGGAATAGCACCCGTAGCAGGAACGGTGCTAGTAGCGGCACCAACGGTAGCAGCGGTAACAGCACCAGCATTGGCAGCTTGCCTCAAGGTCTCCAACTCCTGCTGCATTGCCTGCATCGCGGCTGCCATTGCCGCTACATCAGGAGGTAGATTATTATCCGTTGAACGATTAGTCGCTGGTCGACCCCGTCGTCCCTTCTTAGGCGGCATTGTTGCAGCCACCACGGCCAACAAACAATAACCACATTAAAAAAAACATGCCCACGCCAAGTTCAATTGAAACATATCATATATTTAATAGATTATGTGCTAACAATCAAAAACAGTCAAAACAATAATTACCCATCCTAAAAGTGCAAGTGTGTCAAATTAATCCTTATTTTTCTGAGAATCTAACACCCGCTCCGGTACCAACTGTAACACCCCAGGGTGCTACTAAACAACACAAACACTAGCTGGACATACTAAATAAAAAAACGGCAGCACCTCCTTTGTAAATATAAGCAACACGGAGGTGAGAACAAAGATAAGACACATATAGACCACACTAGCATAAAATAAACATCCACAAAAACTAATTATCACAACTACGTTATTAAGTTTTTGGAATAGTCTCCAAATGAAGGTGTGTGAAACGTGCAGCTAGCTCCCTTCCCATCTGAGCAACTATCAAGTACCTGGGAAGAATAATGCAAGGGTGAGATGAAAACATCTCAGCAAGTAAATTTTTTTTAGCTATTTAAATCACAAGTTGTGTTAAGCAGCGATTTAGTAAAGGATTCCATCTCTGAATAAGCAACATATAAAACCAATGTAAAGAACACCTCCAAATAAAACCACAGAGAGGTGATATACCTTCAATATTATATTAGCAAGGTCATGTCACTTCAAATATGTTTCATAAATGCATATGAGTGCAATGCAAGTGACTCCTGCCAGCATACCCAACAAGGTATGGAGTTGCATCCCATGATGTTGTACCGGTACGGTCATGACCATAGGTCAACGATATAACTTCCAATGCATTCGAATGATGCAATGCATATGACATGCTACAATAATAGCAATATAACTTCACCTTCTCCAAAGCCATGTGATTTGACCACATGAACCGTGCTAGCATCAGTGCATCACAACCACACCATATATAAAGAAATAAGGCATCCAATTACGATTGAGAGAGGAACATCAGAAAGGTTCAGTTCACAGTTGTTATGACATGGTTCCGAACATTGTGGTGTAGGTGATAAAGATAACAAGTCAAAACAGTAGTGAACCACTGCTACATTCACTTGCCTTTTTTACCGAAGAAGGTCAAAAAGGATTAGGGGCGATCCGAGGCACTACCACCTGTTTTAAAACAAAGAACTCAGTACAAATACCCCGAATAACACTTGTAAACAATCAACAAAAATGGCCCTACGTCCGAACAAGCAATCGATGAAAAACAACCCCCACTTGACCCCGATAAACAGCAGCAGTGCTGCTCGTTCTTTTTTTTGTAACTCTGAACTGTAGCAGTTGTGATAACAAATAAATAGCTAACAAGCATCTACACTGAATAAGCTACAACCTTGGTATTCAGCAGAAATTAAAATTTCAACATCTACTATTTTTAATGCAGCCTACAAAGCAACAGACTACTCTGAGTTTCTAGAGCAGCAACTCTGTCTTCAGAAAACCATATCTCCCAAGCCATTGATCCTAAAACAGAGTTTAAATACTCAATGAAAAGTTCATACAAAGTACTACAAAATACTCCATAGCGCCCTGGACCAAAATGGCCTCGAAAACTTCTAAAACGATGCTGAAAACTGGAGTTCGAAACTGACCCCGACCTGATAGAACTGCAGTAACCATCGGCAACATTCAGAAAGCCATAACTTTTGCTATGCTCAACAAAAAATTAAGCTTAAATACTCGTTGGAAAGGTCTTCAAATGCCCTACAACTTCCGTTCATATGAAATCCCCTAATTCGGCCAGTAAATACCTCAAAAACAGACCGATCTACAGATGTACAGGGAGAGAACGAAAACACTGAAACCCTAATTGCCTGTCCACCCACTGCGTGACCAAAACGAAAACATCCCTTAAACCCTTCTCTAATCCCTTCTCCTCCTCGACTTTTAGGCATCCAGAACACCTCTACAACTTGCACTTTACAGAAACTCAAGTCTCACCTAGGGTTCCCTTGAAGATCCCGCAAGGAGAACGGTGGGATAACTCCAATCCACGCCTCTCCCTGCTCCTCCCCTGCTCCCTAACTTTTCTTCTTGATTTAGGCTCTAGAGCAAGAGATCCATGGGAAACTTTTGCAAGAAGGAAGAAGATGGTGTGGCCAGGAGAGGAAAGGAGAAAGGGGTGGCGGCCAGGAGAGGGAGGAGAAAAAGGGGGAGGCGGCACCAGCAGATGGTCCTAGGCCCATCTAGCTCTCTCTCTCTCTCTTTTTATTACTTCAGGGCATTACAGTAATAGTCCTGGCAACTTAGTATGTTCCACCTTGGCTTGCTGACAAATGTCACACCGCTTAACAAACTGCTGCACAGACTGTTTACGATGAGGCCAGGCAAAGAGAGACTTCACACGATTGTAAGTCGTTGATATTCCTGATGTAGGTAACCCTATACCACTTGCTTGAAGTGCCTGTAAAATATGCTGCTGTGCTAAGACACTGTGTCCCACCCATATTCTGTCATGCAATCTTATAACTCCATTCACCAAAGCAAAGCCTCTCTCATTCTCCCCAGAACTGCTAATTCAGCCAAGAGCTCTCTGTCTTAAGAATATTCATCATATCCTTCCCTCAACTTGTGTATCATAATGGCACACATTCAGATACAGCAACAACTTCCTGTTCAGATACGCATCTAGATAGAGCATCTGCTGCAGCATTGTTGATCCCTTTTTTGTACTGAATCTGATAATCCAAATCCATCAACTTCACCAATGCTTTATGTTGAATCTTTGAAGTCACCCTTTGCTCTATTAGATGTAACAGACTCTTGTGATCAGTACGAATTAGAAACCTCCTATGCTGTAGGTATGGCCTCCAGTTGTCTATGGCCATCAAAATAGCCAAGCACTCTTTCTCATAAACTGACAGTGCTTGATTTCTTGGGCACAAGTGTTTGCTTAAGTAAGCCACTGGATGATCAGCCTGCATGAGGACTGCACCAATTCCCAGATCACTAGCGTCAGTCTCTTCTATGAATGGTAGTTCAAAGTTTGGCACAGCAAGAACAGGAGCCTGCACTAATCTTTGCTTGAGAAACTAAAATGCTTGCTCAGTCTTTGGTGTCCACTCAAGTTGACATCCCTTCTTCAACAAATCAGTCAATGGTCGAGCCATCATGCCATAATGTTGGATGAACTTTCGATAGTATCTGTTAATCCCAGAAAACCCCTTAACTGCTTAACATTCCTGGGTATTGGCCAATTAACTACTGCTTGCACTTCGGAAGGATCAGTGGCCACCCCCTCAGCTGAGATGACATGGCCAAGGTACTCCACAGATGACTGAGCAAACAAACACTTTGAACGTTTAATGGAAAAGTGATGTTGCTCCAGGATCTAAAATACTTCGTTTAACAATTTCACATGCTCTTCCAAGGTTGCACTGTAGATGAGAATATCGTCCATAAATACAATCACACCTCGCCGTAGTAGGGATGCAAAGATTGTATTCATTAGGCTCTAAAATGTCGCCGGTGCGTTTGTCAGTCCAAAAGGCATGACCATGAATTCATAAAGACCTTGGTGTGTACAAAAAGCTATCTTATATTCATCGCCAGTGGCTATCCTTATCTGATGATAGCCAGCACTGAAATCGAGCTTGGTGAACCACTGTGCCCCGTTGATTTCATCAAGTAGCTCATCACCACCGGGATCGGATGCTTGTGTTTCATTGTGATAGCGTTCAGATGATGGTAATCAACACAAAATCACCATGACCCATCCTTCCTACGGACCAACACGACAGGAGAAGCAAACTCGCTTGTACTGGGCCTGACAACACCGGTATGCAGCATTTGTTTGACCTGTGCTTCAATCTCATTTTTCTAAATTGGTGAGTAATGATATGGTCGAATCTTGACTGGTTGGGCCTCGGGAATGAGTTGAATCTTATGATCAGCAGTACGTGGAGGCGGTAGCTGATTAAGTGTACTGAATAGATGCTCATATTGGTGCAAACGCTTTTGAATGGGTTCAGGCAACAGTATTGGCTCTGCTGGCTGAATAGCGCATGCAGTCTGACACTCGTCCAACAATAGAGCAATGTTAGCATCCTGGCTCAGCTGAAGACAGCATGTGACTCCACCATTCTGGATCAAGTTGAGTAGCTTCTTGGGACCAATAGGAGGACATGTATAAACCTTATCTTGAATGCCATATAATTAAGGATGGTAATGGGGCGGGTTCGGATCGGGTGGAGTGTCTGCGCACCCAAAACCGAAATCCGAACTTGAAACCTGAATCCGCCCCGAACACCGATTCGGGTGGAAATCCATCCCTGAAACCGAAACCCATGGATACCCGAAACCCAACGGATTATCTGAATCCCCGAGTACACAGCTGGATTCACCTCTGCTCCACCCTGTGCGCCGCCTACCCCGTGCGGTCATGCGCTGTCTGCTCGCCTCTGCTTTGGCTGGGTGCGTCGGAGGCCGGCTCCTACAGCCCTAATCAGCCCTTACGCTGCTGTGGTAGTGGGTGGTGGCAAGAGCGCGAGGCGGTGTGTGTGGTGGTGGCGCCTGGTGTGCCGGCCCCCTGCTAGGCGGCGGCCAAGGCACAGAGGCCGAGAGGCGGCGTCGAGACTCGAAACCATGGGAGTCGCGGACTCGTGGTACTTGGGTGGGATTGAGAGCTGAGACCGTGACGGCGAGGGGAGGGGGGGATCGAGCGGAAGCGGACTGGGGGCGAAGGGAGCCGAGCTCCTGCGCCCGTGCGGTGGCCGTCGGGTGGGGTGGGGTGTGTCGGGTGAGGGTGAGGGAGAGGGATTGAGGGTGGATTTGAGAGTTATATACCTAGGGTTGTTAGTGGGCTGCTTTGTTTCGGAGCCCCACTGGTGATTTGCGGGTAAAATTGAAAAACCACACTAAACCCTCTAGCTTTCGGGTATCCGAACCCGAAAACTGTGGGTCAAAAACTGGACCCGAAACCGAAACGGCTAGACCCGAAATCCGTGGATATCCGCCCCGAAACTGACCCGTTGCCATCCTTACATATAATGCAACCCTCTTCCCTTTGAGACTGATCCTCATAGCTTTGGTTTTGTAGGCCATCCAAATAGGACTCACTGCTTACAACCAATCTTCGCCAAGAATCATATCATAGCAGTGCAAGTTAAGCACTCTTGCATCAGATTTCAACTTATGGCCTTGCACACACCACCGCAATGCAGTCACTTGCTCTGAACATGGTAGCTGTCCTCCATCTGCTGCTTTGAACGTTACTGATTGACAGGGTTCAGTTTGCAGTCCCAATGCTTGAACTAGCTTATCACTCACAAATGTTCCAATGCTGCCCGAGTCCACTAACACCAGCACTTGATGCTTTCCAATTCGAGCTAACAACTTCAGAGTATGTCGGTGAACTCCTTTGGCTGCCTCTGATGACTGTAATGCAAGCACTGAATCTTCCACTGTCAGAGTTTCAGATTGCACCTCAACTGACTCATCAGCGCCTGACAAATCCAAAGCATCCCATAATTCCTCCACAGTTTATGCAATGGAATTTGTTCCGGGCAAGTATGATTGGTGCTCCACTTTCCCCCACATTTGAAGCAGAGACCGTTCTTGCGCCTATACTGTTTGAGCGATGTCAGCTTCTCATCAGCATCCGATTTTTGACTCTTGGCCGCCAATTTATCTCCGGCACCTGCACCAACCTTCTCATTCGCAGCTCTGTCAAACCTTTGGTGAAGCCCCGCCCAAAGGGTTTATGCTTGGCAGCGCTCAGTTCTTCTTCCTGCAATAATGCCAAAGCACTCGCGGTCTCAACATCGCGTACCTTGTGCAGGGCTATGGGTGCTCTGATTTCTTCCTTGAGTCCTGCCAGAAACCGCGTGACAAAGTAGACATGATCATAAGCAGGGTTATAGAGAAGAATTCCATGAGCCAGCTTCTCGAATTGGGCCTGATAATCTGCCACGGAGCCACTCTGTGTTAAGGTCTCCAACTGCGTCAATTGCTTCTGGTAATGATCCTTATCATACTTTGCAAACACCAAGTCACAAAGATGATCCCAATCCATGATTCTCCCGTGGCGTTCAATGGTCTGCAGCCAAGTTGCCGCGGCTCCTTGGAAATTGAGGGCAGCAAACCTCGTCCGCATCGCAGGATGAACACCGTACACCTCAAAAAAATAGGACGCAATGATCATGCCAGAGCCGAGGATTGTCACCATCAAATTTGGGAACAGGAGGAGAGCGTGGCAACTGAAGATGCTCCAAATCAGTGGCAGGAAAAACATGGGGGATCTGGTCATGCGGCATACCTGGTGCGGCGGCAGAGCGCTCGGGGCACCACCGCCAACAACCCGGTGATCATGTCGCTGGCCGTGCCCGTTGGGCGATTGTGAGTTCGAAGCCAAAGCTGGTGCCGCGTTTAGGTCGAACCACCCATGCGGATGCTGAGGACGAGGCCCCGTCAACGGGTTCGGCATCGGCGGTGGAAGAGGATGTGGCAGCATGACCGGAGGAGGGTGCGGAAGCGGCGCCGACGGTGGAGGGGGTGGAGGCAGAGGCTGCGCCTCCAGCTGCTGGACCCGCGTCGTTGTTTCCTTCGATTGCTTCATCATGGATCCCATGGACATCTCCGCGATCGAACGCCACGCCTCCAGATCATTCAGCTTGTCGTGAGTTGTCGTCATCACATTCTGGAATCCGGCGAACTGCTTCGCCATGTCCTGGACATCGGCGAGCTGCTGCACCATCGTGTCCATTGTGGTCTTGAGGTCGTCGATCGATGTCGCCATCTCGGTCTGAAACTTGGTGAGCTTCTTTGACGGCGCCAAAATGGAATGGATCGAATCGAGAGAGAAAAAATTCCCCTCGAATCGATCAGCCCCGCGATACCAAATGTGATGAACTAGCTATGCTATGGTGGAATTTGGGGATAATTTGCAATTGTAACAGAGTTTACAGGGAGGGCGTGGACGAACCGCGGTAACTGAATTGGGATTCTAGAGTATTCTATTACAAGATAGCCTGGCTATTACATCTCCTACCACGCCTTATATAGCGGACGCTCACCGACATCTGTTACCGGACCAGCAACAGTTTTACACCGCCTCTGTCAGTACCGGCCAGTCTCATACCCTGACATATTGCTACAGTGTGAGGAAGGAATTGCGACTAGATTCCCCATGAGCCCTCCAGCAAGGTCATACTGCTTGGCCGAAGCAAACCCTGTTTGTATGGCCAACTCCTCCAGCTCTTCTCCTACATAACAGTACAATGAAGCTTCATGTTCTTATACATACTCGATGACTTTATCTTTTGCATACTTTGAGGGTATATATATAGTGAACCTGTTGGATACTGCGAGATGGAGCGTTTCGGGTACTTGTACTCCTCAGCAACTCCGTACCCAGCAGCGAAGTTAGCCAAAAGACTATCGATTACCCAATTCTGTGCAGTGAAGAGTAAAAAACATTCACTAGCTAGTAGAGTACATGTATGTCGTTATTAATTAATAAAGAGAAATTACATATCCAGGGCAGTAAATTCTACCTCGATGATAAGTAATGAGCGCTCGCTGAAATCTAGAATGGATGCCCTTGATCCTGCATGCAGTACATTATTGAAACCAACCATGCATGATGCATTATACCTACTACCTCTGTCCCCAAAAGGATATAACTATGGTATATGTGCCAGATAAGTGCTTCATGTTTGACTAAGTTTTAAGTAAATAGTATTCATATTTATGGCTCTAAATAAATTTATTATGAAAATACATTTCGTGATTAATCTAATGATATTTATTTGATATTGTAAATGTTTATACTTTTTTATCTATAATTGGTCAAACTTATATGCTAAAATATGACACTATTCTAAAATTATATTCTTTTGGAGACGGTGGGAGTAGTATATATGTACCGACGCTATCTAGAGGAGATGTGTGTGTGCGTGCTCGATGAAGTATGGTGCACCAATGCAACCAAAAAAGAAAAGAAAAAACACCTGGTTTTAAGACCCTGAAAATCTCTGCCATGACAATGCATCGGTCGAGCACATTTCGCAGTCCATAGCCCACCGTGACAGCGTCGAAATAGCAGTCGGCGAAAGGCAGAGCGAGTGCATCACCCTCCGTCCATCTGCAGATCGACCCCAGAATATTCAAGCAATGCAGACGAAGCTCTGCACTTCTTTCAACAAGAAAATGAGAACAACTTGATGAATAATAAGTACTTATATATATATGTATACTTGATGTTCTTGTAGCAAGGCTTCCTGTGTCGGTCCGCGCGGCTGGCGGCGGCCTCCAGCTGCCGCCTAGAGAAGTCCACGGCCACCACCTCTCCGTCCAGGCCGACCTTGGCCGACGACGCAAGCAGCGCCAGGTCGCCGGTGCCGCAGCAGAGATCAAGAACGCGGTCCCCTCCCTTGGCCGTGGACCAGGACACGCACATGCGCTTCCACGTACGGTGCTGCCCCAAGGTGAACACGTCCAGCACCTGCAACGCATGCATGCCATCAACACCTGCAACGCATGCATGCCATCAAACAACACACAAGACAGAACATACATACAAACTCGGCATTATTAGGATCTATAGTTCTATACAATACATTAGGATCTATAGTTCTATACAATACATTATAGGCACTGACATGGTCGTACACGGGGACAATGCGACCGAAGAGGGCCCTGCGCTCGTCAGGGCCGTCCATGGAGCAGCGCACGGGCACACGCCGTCGGCCACCGGCCATGGTGCAGCCGACTAGAGGAACCGCCGTGGCTAAGGTGCGCATCGGTTGGTGAACGAACAGGCAGCAAGACACGGAGCACAGGATAGATCGGAGAGCCTGTCTGTGTGTGGATCCGAAGGAGAGAAGGAGAGGAGTTATTATGAGACATGTATAATTCCGTATACATTGTATTTGGACATGTTATACTACGAGCCTCATTGGGCTATATATATATATATATATATATATATATATACATACATATATGAAAGGTTACCTCTAAGAGGGTGTGTGGTGTTTTCCTATCTCTCTACATGGTATCAGAAAATAGATCCTAGCCTTCAAGTAATCTTCCCCTCTCTCTTTCTGGTCGCGAGCGATGACGCCTATCGCGCTCGGTCGCGCAGCCACCCCCACACGCGTGTCTTCCTCGCGCCCGTCCCTCCCCGGTGGCTCCGTCCAACCTCCCTCTGGCGGCTTCCTCCCTCCCCGGCGATGGCTACTGATCCCTCCCTCAGCACCAGCACCATGCCAGCCACCGCCAACGGAACCATGGGTGAGACCCTCTGGTTGGCCCTCTGGTTCGATCTCTCGTGAATGTGCACACGGAGTCTCCACGAAGAAGATAAGATCGGATTTTTTTTTGGGAAAAAAAGGAGTAGATAAGGTTGGACTAAAAAAGAGAAAGTTATTAGAGAATGACAAGTGGGTCTGTATATGTCAGATGGGTCCACAGACGATGGCTACTAACGGTGTCAAAATTTGTTCTATCCTGTTTCTCTTAATGTTTGACCAAACAAAAAAATAAGGATGACTCTATGTCTAGATCAGTTGGTTAGATTCTTTGTGATGCAACCTGCCCGTCCAAGTGCCTTGACTTGGCATGAGTACTCGCATTTACCTAGATTTACTCTAGGATATAACGGCGTAATACTTTCACTAGTATGCGACGTCCCTATTGACAGTGAGACGGTTGTGGTGACTTCTGAATTTCAAGATATGTTGGCTCAGTTCTTCGAAGGTGCTCATAGGGGTAGCACACTACGTCACAAAGGGTTTCTAGGGGCGATTTTAGTGGGTTTGTAGGGGCGGTTTGGACAGCCGCCCCTACCAAACCGTCTCTACAAATCATGCATTTGTAGGGCGCGGTTCCCAGACTGTCTCTATAAATCGATTTGTAGAGGCGACTGGTGTTATCAGCCGTCCCTACAAATCGATTTGTAGGGGCGGCTTGTAACACGAGCCGCCACTACGAAATCGATTTGTAGGGGCAGCTGTAGTACCGGCCGCCCCTACAGTATATTTTTCTGCAAAAAAAAATTCAAATTTCAATTCAAATTAGACCATAACATATATATATATATATGCATATATAATTCAAATATGACTAGAACATATATAATTCAAATCTGATCACAAGCACAAGAGAATTATATAAACTACCATTACAAGTCCAATTCACATGAATATATACAATTCATCATTAAATAGACATAATTCACAAGTCTAATTCGTTCCACAAGTCCAAACCGTCCCACAAGGTAAGATCAATGTCAAATTCCATATATATTGTTATCATTGGCCTAGAGCTAGCCTTTCAGTCTCACGAAGGTGTTGGTATTGACGATTTCTACCTAAATCAGAATCTCGGTCATGGTAGGTGCCTTTGATATGTATAATCTGGTCCAATATAAAGTTGCAAAGGTCGCCGACGAGCTCTAAGAGTTGGTCATCCTTGTATGTGTCTCTTTTTATTTCTTTCTCTTCTTTCCACTATAAGAGAACAAGTTTCGGTTTAGTATTTCATATCATGTGCGAAGTTTTTATACTACGGGTGAAGAGGTTCAAACTTACCCTTAAGGGGTGTCTCCTGTAGGCATCGGTGTTACTCATCATAGAACATACATAGTATCCACAATGTACATTCCCAGGCTTCTGCTTGGGGCACTGTGTGTTTTCATATGAAAATGTTAAGTAATGCTTTTGATAGCCATATAATGGAATACTAAAGTAAGTTACACTTACCGTATATAGTGTTTTTATAGCTAGCCTTTCCTTCCTTACTAGATCATGCCTTCCGTGATGTTCATTGACATAGAACCTAAATGCTCTGTTCGAATTATTTTAGCAAATACAACTTGTTAGTATCCAAAAGTGAACGTTACAAGTATGTATACAAACATATAAGCTAATGAGGATTATCGATATGTATACGTCTTGAGAATCGATACGAAGTCTTTGTATGTCACTGGGTCCCTATCTATTGAATCAAAGACCCATGCCATGCTCCTCTCGACATCGACACCTATACAAATCCAGTGGTTGCTGCATGAATTTAATCATAGAACTAGATAAGCTGTTTTGCATTGAATAAAATATATCAAACAAAACTTTAAGTATAGAGTTAAACTTACTCAAAGTTGTATGGTTGCCATATAGTAGAGTGCTGTTGGAAATTTTTAAAATCCAGGGCAATGTATGCCAAAACCTTAAGGGACTCTTGCCTTAATTTTTTAGCACGGATGTCCTCTTTCTTCCGAAGGGTCTTTCCCGCATCTAGCTCTTTGGCATCCAGTTTCCACTGTCTAGGGTAATTAAAATTTATCCGTGCTATAGCTTGAGTGTCTATATACCCGGCTTTCACACTTGGCATTTATTTTATAATGTGCACTTACATTCTACAAATCACGGAGTGGGTTAGTTACAACAAAATCCAAAGATTACATTCATATCATATCGGGAGGGCAAGGACTTATAGGCACCACGTGTAAATTAGATTTATTTCCATTATTCCGAGGTGAAAGGATGTCTGCATGTCAGTGAAGTCAAAGATAAATTTTTCGGCTGGGCTTCCAAATGTGTCGGCGGGGAAGCATGCTTGTACGAGGTCTATGGTTGTTAAGAGAACACACAAGTACCAATCATGGAACCTTCTCATTCCAAGTGGTAGGCGCTGGATGTCCCGGTTTGGTAGGAAGGGCTTGCCTCTTTCTTATGTTTTTGGGCAACCCTTTGACCATTTGATGGCATCAACATTTGGATACTTCTTTGCTGTTTGGCGGACTTTGCTAGTGATGGTCTCCTCAGAAGCCCGTGTTGGGACTTTTTTTAACTTGGTTCTCAGGCTTGAACTGGTCATGGGCATACCACTTGTGCACCGACGAGATGTCTTTCATCGGAACATAAATTGGCCTTATGGTGATTGGATGCTTCTTTCGAAGTTCCCATTCAGGTACGTCATCATCTTCTTGTGCATCACCATCTTCAGGAGGCACTCGTTGTTCATGTATCGGTTGCGCTTGTTCAGAAGACTATGGCATCTCATCATGCACTTGCTCGGTATGAGCTGAAGATGGTTGTGGCTTATCAGGCACATGCTCAGTAGGAGGCGGGGAAGAATGTGGCATCTTAGGAATGTGGTGGTCACGAGACGGTGAAAATATCTCCCTGTCCTCAACAACTCGCTCCAAATTTGAGAGAGGGGGAGACGGCGAAGAAGCAGTCAATATAATGTCCCATTTGTGCTAGAGGATGAACTGCCCCATTACGTCTCCGAGTAACACCAGCCCCTCAGGAGTTGCGTTGTCTATCCTCTACTACATGAACTCGAGCTTCACGGTATGCACCTCGACCCTAGTGTAGTCCGGCGGTATCTTATTATTATGGTGTAAGCCACCGGGAGGACGTGCCACACCTGTTGCCACCTCCATCACAATGTTCTGCCGGCCGCTGAGAAACACCAAGGTGCAACTAGTTGGTTCCCATATGCGATCGACGGGGGTTGTGGCTGCAGTGGAACCTTGGCTGCTAGGAACTTCCGGAGGGCTACCAACTATTGCCAGTTCTCCCGGCGGCGCCATTAATGTTCGTGGCTCCGTAGACAGTCCTTGCTCCTCTAGCACCTTCACAACTAGAGCCTTCACTTGGAGCTCAAGATTAGCCTCCCGGTCTCTGCCATGTTTCTTGTACATGTGCCTGTCCTCTTCGAATCCGTGCTTCCAGGTCATCCTTTTCTCTAGCCCCCTAGTGCGGCCTATGTGCTCGTTGTTTCCTAAGCCAAGGCTAACCTCGTCCCTCTCTCTGGAAATATTGAATGAGCCCTTCTCTTTGTCTTCAGTATATTTTAGTATCCTTTATACTGCCTCTTGGGTCTTTGGCTTATCAACCTTAATATTACCGCCGAATGATTCTGTACTCCTCGCATATATCCAATTCCTTGAGCGTACCTTCAAATTCTTCACATCGATATTCCCAGAAGCTGCGGCCTCTTCGTCCATCTTCCTAAACTGCCCTTCCTTGGCATAGTAACCACCAGGGCCTAGATGATGGTGATGTTTGTTCCTCTTCACCAGCTCGGTGTTACGGTCATTGAGCTCTAATGCCTCCGGTGAAGTCTTCTGAGCCACGAGCTCCTCCCATTGACTAGGAGTTATGTTGCCGAACTCGTTGAAGGGAGTTAACCCCTTTTGGATATACTTCTTGTTGAGCTCCGACCTCCAATGTTGGAATGACTCTCCCATGATCTTGAAAGCATTTTTTTACCAGTTCTTGCTTACCCTTCGGAAATCTAAAATTGAGCTTTAGCTGCTTATCCCATAGTTCATCCTTTTTCTTCTCTGGTACCTCTTTCCAGTTAGGGATTGCTAGGTTTAATTTATCTCTTACTAGGGCCCCGATCACATTACAGAATCGTCCTCTGAATTTCTTCAGCACAAGGATCTCCCCTGCTGGCCCGACCTCCGTTATCACATAGCATGCCTTATCTGGATATTGGTTTGCTTTTCTATCCCCTCATTTCCTCTTTGGCTTGGTAGTCATGTTCGTGGTTATGTCTTGAGGTTGTGGAGCAGAGGCCTCAATGTCCGTCTCTGTGGCTATTGCCTCTGCTCTCCTTTCCTCTACTCCACCTTGTCTGGCGAGATGTCACGGATGTCGACATCGTCTTTTTTGAGTTTCAAGAGGGACCTGTATATACGATAGGTCAAAGTGTTAGCAGAGGTAACACAGCCAAAGCTTTAGCA